TAGAGAAATTCGAATCCAAAGAAAAAGGAGAAAGATCTCAAAAAATCGAAAGGAAGGAAAGAAAGAAAGAAAGAAAGAAAGAAAGAAAGAAAGAAAGAAGGAAAGAAGGAAAGAAAAAAGAAGGAAAACAAGAAAGAAAGAAAAAACAAAGAGATAAAGAATGAAAGAAACATTAGAGAAATTCGAATCCAAAGAAAAAGGAGAAAGATCTCAAAAAATCGAAAGAAAGAAAGAAAAGAAATTCAGGAAAGAAAGAAAGAAAGAAAGAAAGAAAGAAAGAAAGAAAGAAAGAAAGAAAAAAAAAAGAAAAATGAAAAGAAAAAAGGGAACAAGAATGAAAGAAAAAACAAAGATAAATAGTGAAAGAAACATTAGAGAAATTCGAATCCAAAGAAAAAGGAGAAAGATCTCAAAAAATCGAAAGGAAGGAAGGAAAGAAAGAAAGAAAGAAAGAAAGAAAGAAAGAAGGAAAGAAGGAAAGAAAAAAGAAGGAAAACAAGAAAGAAAGGAAAAACAAAGAGATAAAGAATGAAAGAAACATTAGAGAAATTCGAATCCAAAGAAAAAGGAGAAAGATCTCAAAAAATCGAAAGGAAGGAAAGAAAGAAAGAAAGAAAGAAAGAAAGAAGGAAAGAAGGAAAGAAAAAAGAAGGAAAACAAGAAAGAAAGAAAAAACAAAGAGATAAAGAATGAAAGAAACATTAGAGAAATTCGAATCCAAAGAAAAAGGAGAAAGATCTCAAAAAATCGAAAGAAAGAAAGAAAAGAAATTCAGGAAAGAAAGAAAGAAAGAAAGAAAGAAAGAAAGAAAGAAAGAAGAAAAAGAAAGAAAAATGAAAAGAAAAAAGAACAAGAATGAAAGAAAAAACAAAAAAGATAAATAGTGAAAGAAACATTAGAGAAATTCGAATCCAAAGAAAAGGAGAAAGATCTCAAAAAATCGAAAGGAAAGAAAGAAAGAAAGAAAGAAAGAAAGAAAGAAGGAAAGAAGGAAAGAAAAAAGAAGGAAAACAAGAAAGAAAGAAAAACAAAGAGATAAAGAATGAAAGAAACATTAGAGAAATTCGAATCCAAAGAAAAGGAGAAAGATCTCAAAAAATCGAAAGGAAGGAAAGAAAGAAAGAAAGAAAGAAAGAAAGAAAGAAAGAAGGAAAGAAGGAAAGAAAAAAAGAAGGAAAACAAGAAAGAAAGAAAAAAACAAAGAGATAAAGAATGAAAGAAACATTAGAGAAATTCGAATCCAAAGAAAAGGAGAAAGATCTCAAAAATCGAAAGAAAGAAAGAAAAGAAATTCAGGAAAGAAAGAAAGAAAGAAAGAAAGAAGGAAAGAAGAAAAAGAAAGAAAAATGAAAAGAAAAAAGGGAACAAGAATGAAAGAAAAAACAAAGATAAATAGTGAAAGAAACATTAGAGAAATTCGAATCCAAAGAAAAAGGAGAAAGATCTCAAAAAATCGAAAGGAAGGAAGGAAAGAAAGAAAGAAAGAAAGAAAGAAAGAAGGAAAGAAGGAAAGAAAAAAAGAGGAAAACAAGAAAGAAAAAAAAACAAAGAGATAAAGAATGAAAGAAACATTAGAGAAATTCGAATCCAAAGAAAAAGGAGAAAGATCTCAAAAAATCGAAAGATAGGAAGGAAAGAAAGAAAGAAAGAAAGAAAGAAAGAAAGAAAGAAAGAAAGAAGGAAAGAAGGAAAGAAAAAAGAAGGAAAACAAGAAAGAAAGAAAAAACAAAGAGATAAAGAATGAAAGAAACATTAGAGAAATTCGAATCCAAAGAAAAAGGAGAAAGATCTCAAAAAATCGAAAGAAAGAAAGAAAAGAAATTCAGGAAAGAAAGAAAGAAAGAAAGAAAGAAAGAAAGAAAGAAAGAAAGAAAGAAGAAAAAGAAAGAAAAATGAAAAGAAAAAAGGGAACAAGAATGAAAGAAAAAACAAAGATAAATAGTGAAAGAAACATTAGAGAAATTCGAATCCAAAGAAAAGGAGAAAGATCTCAAAAATCGAAAGGAAAGAAGGAAGGAAAAAAGAAAGAAAGAAAGAAAGAAAGAAAGAAAGAAAGAAGGAAAGAAAAAAGAAGGAAAAGAAAGAAAAATGAAAAGAAAAAAGGGAACAAGAATGAAAGAAAAAACAAAGATAAATAGTGAAAGAAACATTAGAGAAATTCGAATCCAAAGAAAAAGGAGAAAGATCTCAAAAAATCGAAAGGAAGGAAGGAAAGAAAGAAAGAAAGAAAGAAAGAAAGAAAGAAAGAAAGAAGGAAAGAAAAAAGAAGGAAAACAAGAAAGAAAGAAAAAACAAAGAGATAAAGAATGAAAGAAACATTAGAGAAATTCGAATACAAAGAAAAAGGAGAAAGATCTCAAAAAATCGAAAGAAAGAAAGAAAAGAAATTCAGGAAGGTAGGAAAGAAAGAAAGAAAGAAAGAAAGAAAGAAAAGAATGAAAAGAAAGAAACGATGTCACTGAAGGACAATAACCTAAAGCTGTAAAAACTGTAAAGATTGAATGAATGAATGAATGTCTAAGTGAATGAAAGGAGCCAGCCTCTCTCTCTCTCTCTCTCTCTCTCAGCTGTCCGACCCCCATTCATCTAACCAACTCATTGCAAGAAACCGTGAACCCCTTTTTCCCTCAACTCCCTCACCTCTCCATTGAATGAACCACCCACACAACCCAACATCTATCCCTAACACATCACCCCTCCTTCTACCTCTTCCGTAAGTATTACACTCACTATTCACTGTCATGCCCATTAAACCTTGAGGGATTCTAGAAAGGGGGAAGAAAAGAAGAACATTCCTACCCCCATCCTATAACTGAACAAGCTGGTAAATCGACTTGCCTCTAATGGTGGGGGGTACGGCTCAGTTGGTCAACGAGAGATACAATCAGATTAACTTTATTCTAATATATATATATATATATATATATATATATATATATATATATATATATATATATATATATATAATGTGTACGTATATAAATATAAATGTTGTATATTTAGGCAGCAATCCTTCGTTTATGTATGTTTCAGTAAAAACGACAGATATGGTACTATGGTTAAACTTTTTATTTAATTTTTCTTGTGTTCTCACAAGAGCTTTCTTTTCTGGACAAAGGGTGTGTAAGAACTGTCCAAATGTTTTATATTTCCGAGCGCTTTCGGCTATACCTTTAGCCATTATCAAGGAAGATTCGATTTTTCACCTTAATTGAGTGTGTGCGTTCTGTGTATATCTTAGTGTGTGGTGGGGATGTTTTTAATTTCCGAATACGGTTAGCACATTGTGGCCTTGTTCGTAGTTAATATTGTTAAGAGTTGGCTTTTTCTTTTTTCTTATTAAAGCTTTCATTATTTTTAATATTTTTTTTTTTTACAGTTGGATGCAGTTATTATATTTGTGTTTTCTACTTGTATGTTCCTAATGGTGTCTGGTAAGTTTGTGTGTGTGTTTAAATGTGTTCTGATGGAGCTGTGATCAGATAGGTGTAACGTAAGACGTCTGGATAAGTATGTGGTTGTGTAACCGATGTAATTATTTATGAGTCCGGTTTGATCAGAAACACAATTCTTTAAGGTGCATATATATATATATATATATATATATATATGTGTGTGTGTGTGTGTGTGTGTGTGTGGATATATAGAAAAATAGGAAAGAACACGTTAGGTAAATAATCCGGAGTTCTTTAGTATTTTTGTTTTAATTTTATAAAAAAAAAAGGGCTCCATACAGAAGTAGAGCTTAAATTATAATAATTATTTTTTTTAAACATATGATTCCTTCGCTACATAAGAGTTCTCATGTTTCAAAAACGAGAGCCGAAATCATATTTAAAAAAAAATAAGTATAAGTATATATATATATATATGCAATTTTATATATATATTATTTATATATTATATATGCGCGGTACTTATTGGAAAGCGCTCAATATCAGTGATAGAGATAACGTATTCAGTTGGATTGATGTGAGTTTGTGACTCTAGCTTTCACGCTATTTGCGATCGTCAGACAAACTGATTAATTTTTAAAATTTTGGATTTATATAGGGTTGCGTATATCGTTGTTTTTATGGAAGTGAGAGGAAAAATTGTCGTCGGAATGCCACTCATACGTACGCAGACATATATATATATATATATATATATATATATATATATATATATATATATATATATATATGCATTTTCATTAAAACAACAGACAAGGTATTACGGTTAAGCTTTTTATCTAATTTTTCTTGTGTTCGAACAAGACCTTTTTTTTCTGGACAACACATTAAAACAGACACATAATGCACACACTGAAAAACTGAAAAATTGAATCATCCTTGATAATGGCTAAAAGTATAGCCGAAAGCGCTCGGGACTATAAAACATTTGAACAGTTTTGACACACTCTTTGTCTAGAAAAGAAGGCTCTTGTTCAAAGACAAGAAAAATTAAATTTCAGCTGGGATTTTATCCAATGTGTTTTTGTCAAGTTATAATACTTTATAATAAAAAAAAAATATTACAAAATTAATTGTAGTAATTTTGGGATTATTATGGCGGCATTCAAATTTATCAAAAAAACATCCGAGGTCATAGGTTCCCAAGAAGGCATCTAGGCGGACGAGACTACTATTTACTCCTGCCTCAAAAACAAATCTAGTGTCGCTGACAAATCTAACCTGGCCGTTTGTCTCGAAAAGGACCTCCAATCGGTTGTGAACTGGGGTAGGAATTGACTGGTTAAATTTAATGTCTCAAAAACAAAACTGCTCTCAATTACTCACCAAAGAGAACCATCCCTGCCCCCAATTAGAATGTCTGAGTATTTATCATTTCACCCACGGGAAACGAATATGGCACAAGGCCGGTTTTATTGTGGGTTTCTCCGAGCCCGTAGGCTCGGCCAAAAAAATAGCCTTTGAAGCCGATTAGACGGGTTCAGGCCCTGTCTCCCTCCTCGGACGAAAACTTGCCCCTCGGCAAAGCCTCGTCCGGGTTCCTCT